CAGCCAGAGTGCTCCTTGGAGGCCAGGATGGCCAAACTTTGTCTCTCATACTTCAGACATATTATCAAGAGGGGAGGGTCACTGGAGAAGGATATCATGGTTGGTAAAGTGAAGGGCCGGAGGAAAAATGGAAGACCCCCAGCAAGATGAATTGGCACAGTGGCAGCAGCTATGAGCTCAGGTTAAGCAACAATTGAGGTTGGTTTAGGACCGGGCAGTGTTTCATTCTGCTGGGCATGGAGTCACTATGAGTCGGTGCTGACTCAATGGTACCTAACAACAACATCATTATTCATGCATTCATGCTGGTATTCAATAACTATATCGAGCACCTATTGGGCCAGGTACTGTGGTCATACCAGGGATAAGATGAATCATTTTCTTCCTTTCTCTTTCATGGTCTCTTCCTTTCCTTTGGTTATTTTTATTAAAGATCAAAAATTCAATTCCACCACAATTCCGTTAACCATTTCCTTATTATGATAGTGTCAGTTGGTGGCAATTGAGAAAAATGATCCTAATGAAAATATACAAGGATATTATAGGGTTCCTTTTCTCCCCCCTTTTTAAGTGTTAAATGATAACATTAGTCTTTTAGGAAAAATTCAAATGATTTTTTTTTACCAAGTCACAGACACTGTCTCAATGAGAGCTCTGAGTAAAGTATTTTGCTGGGTGTCTTCGCAGTTACAAGGTTGTCCAGTAAACAATCAAGGCACTGCCTAAGGATCAGCCCCACTTTCTACTGAGAACCATCACTATTTCTTTAATATCATGATTCCTGAAAGTTTTTTCCTGCTACAATGAACTATCACAAACAAAGCAGTAAAGCTTTTTATTACAAGCAAAAGTGAATTATGCGAAGTGACTATCAAGGCAGTTTAAATTTATATTCATATTCTTTAACAAATGAGAACGTTCAAGTTCTTGTATTATACATAACTATGTAATAGTCTACATTGAAATACTTGTGATCTGAATTATCCTATTTTTTACTGCAGTGATAAGAAGAGCAGTATAGGGAAGCTCCAATTACACCACTAATCTTAAACGAAATATTTAAAAATGAGTAAATGAAACTTACTGTGTATTCTGATCCCAGATGTTCATTTGGAGGAGAGGGGAAAGAAAAAGAGAGACAAAATGGTGATATAACCATGCTTCTGTACAATATGAAACCACAAGAACTAACAAGTACTGGTGAGTTTCAATTATTAAAGATATGATCAAGAAACCTTCCAAAAATGTAACCTTTCATAAATACCAAGAGTCTCCACATTTACTCTTAAAACCCTTACACATGATACTTCTGTGGTTGACCAGATAAAGACATAAGACAAGATTCAATTAGCCTATAGGTTTGCGGCTAATTAAAAGCCAAAGCATTGGCGTTATAACAACAGAATTGAAGACTAATGATTCCAGTAGAGCATTTAATTAACCACAAAGGAAATAGTTTTAAGTGGGAAAGCAACTTTTATTACCAATAAGTGAAGTTAGATATGATGATGCTGGCGTGGGATCTTGAATTTTAATGTCTTTGAGGGCAGGAACCAAACCTCCCTAATTTGGGGCCATAGTTTCTAAGTGAAGCATGGAGTGCAGAGAGTTTATTACCGCTGCTTCACAAGTGGAAGAGAAGGCAACCTTCAAAGTCTTCCTATTAGCCAAGAGCAAAGGAAGTAGCTTGGGACAGAGATAGCCAACAGAAGCTTTTGTACAAAGTTTATACAAAGTTGTTTTGTTTGTTTATTTTTGTTTTTAGGAGGGGGAGAGGGGGGTAATGGAATGTAAAAGAAAACAAAACAAAAACAGTCAAAATTATCAACAAACCATCCTCTCAAATGACTTGGGGATTACTGAGGAAATAGGGCGCAATAAGGATCATGAAATCCCTAGAAATTCCATTAAAAAGGCCCTCCTCTTCCTTCGCCATCAAGCAATCTGAGAAGGAAGATGGAATGGCTTGGCTTAAACCTCACCAACCCTGCCATCCCAGCATCACTGCCATCAACAGTGTCGATGTCCTAAGGCAGGAGCTCCCATTGGCTGAGATATTGGGAGGAACAAGTCCTTCGGACAAACCAGGCAGTCAAACTTTTCTCCCTCCCTCTCTCTGTTGGCATCTTTAGACCACGGACCAAACTATGAGCCCTACCTGAGGTCTGTTAGTAAAGTTAAAAATATATAATTCTGGGTTAACCCATCTTCCCTCTTCAGAAAGTCAGGGAACAAAGTTTTCTTTGTCTCCATAGGTCTGGTACAAGTAGGTACACATAGCATAAGCTTACAGTCCATCTAAAGTGGATCTACCTGGTCAGGTGAAGACCAGCAATAGGCAGGGTCCTAGTTAAGTCCTCACCCATGGCACAAAGTGTCAAACAGCATCATCTCTGCCCAGATTGCTTTGGAGAGGATCGGCTAGGGATGGAACATAAATGTCATCTGATTCTTGTACGAAATCAAAGTTACTCTCCAGATGCTAACATGTGTTCAGCTCTGATTGGAAGAACATGACGTTTGTGGAGCAATCCATGAGTTATTGGTGGTCTGTTTCTAAAGGCCTCCTGGCTATTGAGAAATTGGGTACAGACAGTGAGGACCATGCAGATTTGGAATGTTGTTCCACAGATAATCCATCCTCAATCAGTGAAACTCAAGTTCTGCTATATCCTTGCATTTGCTACAAGTGAAATACTGGTTGTACATGTGACTTACCTGTAATTGTGTAGGGATAATAGTTCCAAGCCTTCTCGGTAACGTAAAATATTTTGGGGACAACAGCTCTAGCCCAACTAGGCAGTTTGCTAAGAGGAAAGAAAGGAAAAATCAATTAGAGTCTGTTTAGAATCTCAGTTGGTTGGTTGGTTGGTTATATGTTACGGAGTCGGTTCCAGCTCATAGCAACCCTGTATAGGATTTCTTAGGCTGGAGTCCTGGTGTGGCGCTGCGGGTTAATGTGCTCAACTGCAAGCTTGTCAGTGGTTCAAGTTTCAGCCACTCCTTGGAAACCCTATACAGGGTCTCTATGAGTTAGAACAGACTCAATGGCACTTAACAACAACAACAAAAATGCGGGTGTAGAAAGCCTTATCTTTTCCCTGCAGAGCTGCTGACAGTTTCAAACTGCTGTCCTTGAGTTTAGCAGGCCGACTCCTACCTCCTAACTATGCTAGGATCTCAGTATGCTACCACATCTGCTAATGAAAATACGTAGTTTTAAAGGCATATTTTCTCTCCATGGTCACTCAATGGTTTACAGAGCCATAGTGAATCATTTTCTGTGCGTATTCACATACTCTTAAAATGTGTAAAGGCAGCAAGTTACAGTGTGGTGTGGGGGCCTCATGGGATTATAAACATGTCCTCTTTGATTTGAATGTGACAATTCAGGGTTGGGGAGGGGGCCACGTTGGAAGTGTTAGATCCTGGTCTTTGTCACAGGGGCCCTGGTGGTACTGCAGGATAAGCACTGGACTACTAACTACAAGATCAACAATTCAAATCCACCAGCTGCTCCACAAGAGAAAAGATTAGGCTTTCTGCTCTCGTAAAGACTTCCAGCCTCACAAACCCGATGAGTCAGAACCGACTCCATGGCTGAAGGAAATTAAACCAAGCACAAGAGCCAAAATATGACCTTAAATAATCCCATCTGAATCCAGAGATCATCTGACTCCATGGCAATGAAGTGTTTTGTTTTGTTTTGTTTTTTTGTCTTGAGGCCTTTGTCATGGGCTCAGCCTTCTAGGGATTGTGCTATGGAAGTGGTAGGAAAGGATGTTCAAATCCAAACAGGGGTAGAAGGGACAGGAGCAAACATCACAACCAGGTTTTACCCTAACAACACACACGAGTGTGTTTCGAAAGCAGACAAAAAACAGCAGAGAATAGTAACTTTAGAGATATGAAGAAGAGCAAAATACAGCCCGATGAAGACTGTAGTGGGTTGAATTGTGTCTTCCCAAAAATATATGTCCAAATCCTAACCTGTGAATTTGGAAATTGGAGTTTTGCGCATGCAATTAAGCTTCGGAACTCTAGATGGTATTTTCCTGAATGAACTGGGCAGGCCCTATATCCAGTGACCAGTGTCCCTCTAAAAAAAGGAGAGGGGGACTTGATCAGAAATACACAGAGATGACAGCCACATGAGGACACAGGCAGAGACTGGAGTGATGTGTCTACAGGCCAAGAAATGTCAAAGATGGCCAGTCACCACCAGAAGCTCCGAGTGGGGCATGAAACAGATTCTCACTCACAGCGAAGCCAGCCTGCTAACACTGTGATTTTGGATGTCTGGCCTCCAAAACTGTGAGAGAATATATCTCTGCTGTTTCAACCCACTGAATTGGTGGTAATGTGCTATGGAAGCCCCAGGAAACTAATCCAATGACAGAAGCATTCCCCAGGAGCTGCAACCAGTCAGTCATTTGCAGAAAACAAATTCTCAAAACAAGGAAATCTCAAGGGCGCAAGCCCCAGATCTTTTGTCAACCAAATACTAATTACGTTTTGTTTTGTCTGGTTTTCCTTCCGAGGCACATCCTACAGCACAGTCCTCACCCGGAGAACTTCTGAACTATTGTAGCTCGATATATAATATTTTGCATTCCTTAAAATATAGCTGGAGTCCTGGTGTGGCGCTGTAGGTTAAGCACTGGACTGCTAACTGCAAAGCTAACTGCAAAACCAGCGGCTCAAACTTATCAACGGCTCCTCGGAAACCCTGTACAGGGTCACTACGAGTCTGAACCGACTTGACGGCGCTTCACATCAACAATATATAGCTAGCTGTGTGGTTTTATCTGTCCCCAGTGTTATGCCCTGGGGTCTTCTGTCTTCTGAGAGACTCTACCACTTTGTCTCTTTTCCTTTCTACTGCTTAGAACTAACTGTCTGGGAAGCTGATGGCCAGTAGTGTTTCAGACCCAAAGAAAGGACAAATGGTCACAGCTCCGAAGGCTACATGTTGGCAATAAGGAACATTAAGAAACAGTTTTGAATTCTAAGAGGGGATAACATCAAGCCAATAGAACCCCAATCCCCAAACTCCTCTTGAATGTGGAATTTCAATGATATCCAGAGCCCATAAAACACTGTGTATCTTTTATGTCTTCTCAAGTTGATTCTCTTATTTCTGACAGTCTCCAGGCCCTGCTTTTAAACAGACAAATATGCATTTTCAACGGTTGGCCGGACCTAACCCAAAGCCCTGGGATGTTTATCAGGGTTAAAACAAACGGGAAATCAGAACTCCCCCAAGGCTGGGGTGAGTGTCAGAAGAAGGCCATTGCTCTCAGGTGGGCTGTAAGAAGCCAGCTGAAGGAGTCTGATAATTCATGTACAATTCTTGCTGCTCAACTGCAGAATGGCTCGCCCCGATAAAATCATCTCTGCAGGAACTGTTCATTTACCGTACGTTCACACCACTCAAATGAGGCTCAAATGGACGGGGTGCTCCCTCATAGGAATTTTTATAGCTTTTGTGGATGATGCTTTATTCTATCAGTCATTGAAATTTGAGTGCAAATGGGGTTGACCTTAATGGGGGCGGGGGAGATCACACTGGGTTTGTTTATGGAAAATAAGCCCTTGGTTTCCCCTAGCTTGTCCCCTAAACCAGTGGGTTTGACCACACCAATGGGTAGACCAGAAAGACGGCGTCTACGCGTGTGCTCGGGAGTGTGCTTTAAACATTTTGACTGTGAAAAGACTTCAAATAAAGTGAAACTTGTGAGAGATGGAACTTGACTGATGGGACAAGTCTTGTTTTAATTCAGCTTTTGCTGCATTTTCGCCTCTGACATGGCGCCACCTGATCATTTTTCTATTGCTCTCTATTAGTGGGAAATATTTGGGTTTTCCCTCTCTCAAACGTTCCCACCTTGCACAGGTTTTGTACAGGTCCATGCAAAAGCAGAGAGGATACTGTAATGAAGTCCGGTGTACATCACCTCTCAGCTTCAATGATTAACAGCAGGGCCAACCATGTATCTACACTTCCATCCCTTCACAACATCACTCTGAGTCTTTTTGTTTTCTCTCCTGCTAGGTAAAGTTCAAAGTGCAGCTGGAGTGCTCCTTTGAGGCCAAGATGACCAAACTTCGTCTTTCATACTTCGGACATATTGTCAGGAGGGACCAGTCGCTGGAGAAGGATATCATGTTTGGTAAGGTGGAGGGTCAGAGAAAAAGAGGAAGACCCCCAGCGAGATGGATTGGTAAAGTGGCAGTATCAATGGGCTCAAGTGTGGCTAACAATTGTGAGTTTGGCCCAGGACCAGGCGGTGTTTCGTTCTGTTGTGCATAGGGTCACTATGAGTCAGTACCGACTCAATGGCACCCAACAACAACAGGTAAAGTCAGATTTTTATTCATCTGAAATCAGCAAGCACTTACAAGTTATCCCAATGCCTTGCGTTTCTTCAGCAATTAGCTTAAAAAAAAAAAAGAACCATTTTTAAATGTATATATTCCAGTGACATTAATTACATTTACCATGTGGAACTACCATCACCCTAGCCATTGGTTTTTTTCTGCTTTTAATGGCCTGAAACAGAGCTAGAAATTTCCCCCAAAGGCACTGCTTAGCTTACATAAAGTACATCTGTCTTCTTACAAGTTTTAGGGCCAATTCACCTCTCCCATTGGGAAATGGAATTTCACCCCCATTGTTCCCACTCTCAAATCCAATAGTTTCTGTATTCTCAGCATTCTCGGGCCAGAACACCTCATGAATAATTCCCTACATCATTTTAAAAAAGCCTCCCAGCAGAACCATATTCCTAAGCAACAATCATTTTCTGGGAGAAAAATGAAAACACAAAGGCAATTTCTTATTCATGTTGAGACTTTTCCTGTTTGTAAAATGGTCAGGGCTCCAAACTCGAGCATCTCTGTTTTAGCTCTTTTACCCGCCAACTCATGCAGGGTATGTGGCATTCTAATCAATTATCCTTTCCAATGAGATACCTTACAAACACAACCATTTAGCCAAGATGGCCAATAGGGTTTTAAGCAACTCTTCTCATTAGCCTGGAAAGGTGGCCTTTTCTGGTTGACGGCATTTACTGGGGCAGATGCAAGACGCATTTGCAACAACTTTAATAATACATGATTTAAATATTTTTAAGACCACTAACGGAACTTCTCTCAGCCCCCTCTTTCTCTAGCACACACCATTATTCGAATCACTTTTGTCTAAGGAAGTAAAATTTATTTTTCCCCGCAGCAATGATTTATCAGGGCCTGTGAAGGAAAACGGAATTAAATTAGTCCCCACTGTTGCTGTCACTTTCATGATGTATACTGTCACACAGCCTACAATTCTAAGAAAAAGTCTGTCATTCAAACTCACTACAAGTGTCAAACAGAATCTCTCTTCCAGAAAAGCAGCATGGTTTGAATCTATCTGTATTCTTCACCCAGTGGCCAGGCTCGAACACCCCAATGCCCCATGCCACCAAGGCTTGGACACACCCATGAAGAAGAGGATCAAATTCTTAAAGCTTTGACAGAATCTGAAAACACCTGTATCATATTCCTAATTGCTTTTGTTGATGCCTCCTGGAGATACGTTTCTCAAATGGTTTCTTACCTTTTCAACTTTTATGAACTAGAACATATCATCAGTTTAATATGGTGACCAACTTGGCCCTGGTTTGCTGGGATGGGTGTTCACTCTCAGCTAGTGATTCTCAACAGGGGGAATTTTTGCCCCTCAAAGGACACTTGGCTATGTCTGGAGACATTTGGTTATCAAACGGGAATTATTGTGGCATTGTGAATAAGCACTGGACTGCTA